GTATGACTTCCTCCAAATGATGGTGAATATACGAGAATATTGTAAGCATTAACATTGAGAACACAAAATAAAAAGAGGAATGCTTGGATAATCATTATGTAATGATTGAATGAATGACTCTCACTTTCCTCCAATTTTCTTTTTATAAGTTTTTTTTCGGCTGTATTGGATAAGAAGTTCCCGCCTTTTATCACTTTAGACACACTGTAGTTTTTGTAGTTTGCGTGTTTCAAAAAGATATGACATCGAAATGAAAAAAAGAGAAGAATCATTCGATACTATGCAGTTGTCAATGAAATAATTAGAACTGGAGAACACTGTTGAACTACAATTCTTATTTTGGATAATGAGGAACTATGTGTTTCCAGTTTTCCAGTCGTTACTTTCTTCCAGTCAATTACGGTTGATTACCAAAATATTTTCGAAATGGGACAGTGAATTTCAGGTTTTTGTTTGGTATTTGGAATCAGGGGTCATTCCATTCTTTGGAACTGAACAATTGTTAACAATGCGAAATTTGAATTTCACAACGAAAACTTTCACTTGATACTAAAACGAAACCAAAAGTTCCAATACACTTTTTTTCTTCATTTTCATAAATTCTTCTTTATTTTTGATAAGATAACCAATGGGTGAACATATTGCTTCAACCCGCTATTTCACAGTTCTTCTGGCCCTCATCATTATCATATCCAATGTCCACCGCTCAGTTCCATAGTTTAATTCCAAGACGTCAAAGAACAGTTCAAAGTAAACGTAATTTCTCTGAAGATCAAATAATCTAATGTTGTGCAACAACACACAATTTTATGACCATATCACAAAACATGATCTTTATATAAAGTGACAAGTTGTTCTTTGACTACAAGAAATGTGTCTAGAGGTCATTGGAGAAACTAGAGGACCCAAATTCTAGAATGAGGTTAGTTTCAGAGAAATATGCTATGAAATTAGCTCTGGAATTGTTTCATTAAATAGTAATCAGAGTTGGTTATGCACGGTAAAGCAAAAAAGTTTGTGTAGGAACCTAGTACAACATTTGGAGAGCAATTTTGCAGAGTGATCCGATCAATGTGATCTGAGATATGATAAGAGTTTAGCGCTTGGCCAAAGTGTCAAAAAACGACATACTGAAAATTTCGAAAATCTTTTCTTAAATATTTTTTAACTGGCTCACTTTTTGTGAGTTTATTGTGAAAAGATGAATGCATGAAACTCGGGGAGGGCTACCGAATGGGCTAAAACTCATCTGAATCGGAGTAAAACCGAGAATGTAGGCCATAAAACAATGACTAATTTTTTTATGAAAAGTGGTCAATTTTCCCCAATATAACGTTATGACCTTAGGCAAACTGTTCCCCACGTGTATCCAACCCACTACCATAGATCATCTTATCTTGATCAAAAAGCTATAAATAATCGATTGACGTCGAAAAATTCAATATTTCCTACTCGAAACTCACCGAGCAACAACACATCTCTCGACATTTCAATTAGCTTGTAAAAGGGCTCAAAACGAAGAAAGAAGAAGAAGACGAAAGATGCGTAACTCTTATCGATCCACCGACGAAGTTGTCGCTCAGTGTTCGAGCAATAATAAGAATGTGAGTCTAAAAACTATTGTCTTTCTCCAATTCCAATTCCTTTCCAGGTGCATCTCAACTTCTCCCAGATGAAGCTTTTCGCATCGGGAGCCTTCTCGAACGTCTACAGTGGAATGGCAAAAACAGATTCCTCCCATGAGATGCCTGTTGTCATCAAGAAGACGTGGCCTCGCAACAAGGATAGTCTTCTGGAGGTGGAGATCCTGAAAAGATTGGGGAAGTTGAAACATAAAAATGTGGTACAACTATTGTATAGTTATACCAAGAAGCATGAAGGTTAGTAATGGATTATAGTTCGTAGTTTGTAGTTCTTGTCTTTCAGCACTGGTCTGCCTGTCGCTCATCTTCGAATACGTGCCACTCAACCTTCACCAATTTCTCAAAGAAAACAACAGACGCCTCGACATTCTTGAAGTGAAAATGATCACATGGCAGTTGTTCAGAGGACAGTCACACCTCCAGAAGTCCAAAATTTGTCATCGTGACATCAAGCCACAGAATCTGTTGTTCAATGCGGACACTGGACTCCTGAAGATCTCAGACTTTGGATCGTCTTTGATTCAAAGTGCCAGCACTCCACAAGCCAGTTACCACGTCACAAGATACTACAGACCGCCCGAGTTGCTCCTCGGATCCAAGTTTTATAGTTGTGAAGTTGGTAAGTGAAATTTTGAAATAGGGTTTTTTTTTATGAAACTCGATTTTCAGATGTCTGGTCTTGTGGCTGTGTATTCGGAGAGTTGCTGAAAGGAGGAATCTTCCTGGCAGGAAAGTCAGCCACCAATCAAGCGGAAATCGTATTCGATGCATTGGGATGCCCGACCAAGGATGATCTGACTGCGATGCAAGCCAGCAACAAAAAATATCAGGAGATCAAGACGGGATACGAAGCGGATCCGGCAAGAAGAACACTGAATTTTTCATTCATGTACGACCAGACAATCAACACTCAGAGGGACCGGAGAACAATCGTTTACAATAATGTGAGTTTGCTTCCCTGTATTAGAAGGGCACCAATTGGTTGTTTCTTTCAGAAAATCAACCAACGAGAAATGAGAGAGTCAGTCGACTTGGTCCGCCAAATTTTGGTGTACAACCCGGAGAGGCGACTATCAGGAATCGATTTGTTAACGAATGGATATTTCAACGAATTGTTCTCCGCGAACTCACTTCGGTCAAATGGAAAGAGAATTCAGTGCTTGTCACCGGCTGATCTTCACGCCGTGAGGTCTGGCGATGGAACAGTTTCACTGGATACGACTGATGGAGAGGGACTGTGAAATAACAAAAACCACTCATATGATCTACTAACCATTTTGAGATTTTCAATAAATTGCTTTTATTGAACCACTTTTCTTTTGTTCTATCAGGAACTCATAGATCGCAAAATGCTTTGCTCTTTCCTACTATTTCCCGTGACGGTTCATGCAATACAATGCAGAACAAATTTCCATACTCCACCTCTATCTGAATATCCTCCATCTGAAGTCACACTTTTCTGTGATCATAACAAACAAAAGAGAGACTTTAAAAAAACGAAATTCAGTTAGTTTTTTTGATGATGAAACGTTTTAACAGCAGAGGTATGAAATAAAAGAAAACGCAGGAAACGAATAAAAATCCAAGAGCTTCTGCCAAATAGACATCCAAAAGATTTCTTTGAAAAAAGTTGAGTTTCCGACTGTATGGATCCATTTGTGGGAATGGTCCGTACCTGAAAAATAGAGTGAATCATGAAAGTTCTCATTTTCAGAAGCGATCTGGATCTTTTATTGTTCTAAAAGCAAACTCACTTCGCTACAAACTCCACATATTTCGGTACCAAATCTTTGGGTTTCAATGGTTGATTTTGAAGTAGATCTGCCAAATGAATTGCATTTTTCTTATATTTTTCATCATAGAGGATTGATTGAACCGCTGATTTCAACAACTTCCAATTGTGAATTTGAGTTTTCTGTACAATAATTGCACATCCATGCCTCTCTAACATGTGAGCATTTCTATATTGATCTCCAAATATTGGAACAACGATCGCAGGTTTTCCGAAATGAGCCAATTCATTTGTACTTCCAAGTCCTCCATGTGTCAGAAAAGCAGAAATTCTCTGATCTCCCAGAAGAATTGGTTGGGGGACCCACTTCGAGAAATGAATATTCTCAATTCCATCAGCAAACGAAGTGTTATTTGTTTCATATTTCCAGATAAAAGTGACATTCGGTTCACTTTTAATCACTCTCACAATGTTATTCCGTGCATCATCCAACATATGAGAAGAATGAATCATTGATCCGAATGAAATCAAAACATTATGTTTTCTTTGATTCAGAATATAATTCCATTCTTCATCTAATTTCTGAGATTTTATCTTTTCGATATCAACTGAGATTCCACCAATTGGAACAGTCTTCTGAAGAACTGGACGTGGAAAGTCAAGGTATGGATTGGAATTTGTAAAGAATAATGAAGCAGAAGGGAAGAGTTCTTTCCAATCAGGAAGATCCTTTCCAAGATAATTTCGATAATGTTTCTGTTCAGCATCAAACATTCGACTGATTCCACGATTCATTCCCTGAAATTCTCATCGAATCCTATGAATATATCCTTCCTCTTTCCTGTGCTTACCTCCGATACTTTATAATTTTCGAAACGTTCGAAAAAGTTCATCACCTCTCCTTTAGTGCTCATCAAAGAAGGAAGATAACTGTATTCATTTGGTTCACCCAAATGACGGAACAGATAATCATAATAGGCACACGAAGATGCCAAAATCGTATTTTCAATTCCCAGTTTCTTCGCGAAACCAAGTCCACATACAGAAAGTGGTTCAACAATTGCCACGTCGAAGTTTCGGGATTTCATTTGTTTGAACACTTCATTGTGACGAAGAAAGTTCTCGCATCCCAGTTCCATTCCATCGAAAAACCATTTGAATGACTGAAAACATAGAATTTGAAGTTTAGAGTTTGAGTTTTTTCATTTCGCTTTCCCAGCAATATTCATTTCAGATCACCGAGTGATGTTCTTCGGCTGATCAGAAAAAATAAATGTTACGTTTTGTTAAGCATCAGCTGTTTCAGTGTTCATTACTGTTCAAAGTTTCATTCAATATGTTCAGAGATCACGTTTCTTCCTTTCAACAACAAATGGAAAGTTACTGTAACAAGAGGTATGCTTTGACATTACTGAAGATTATTGCTTAGCGAAAAGCGAAAGAAATAGCGAAACATTGATAGGAAGTGATGTTCCTCATAGCTCATTCATTCTAATCTTCAAAAACAATAAAATGTTCATCTCATCGTTATCCCCATGTCCGATCACCCCTTTACCCTCTTTCCCCCCTCTTTTTCCCCTCAAATTGCGCCTTCATTTTGAAGTCGCACATTTTTCAGACTCGCCGCCCTGATGGCCGAGTGGTCGAAGGCGTGAGGCTTATGTCCTCATTGGGCGACTCCAGTCGCGGGTTCGAATCCCGCTTAGGGCAAAGCATTTTTTCTCTTTTTTTTTTGTTTTGGAATATTTTTTCCATTATCATATGAGTAGTGCACTGGTTTTTTTTTTAAAGTTTTTCGAAAATTTTTTGTATCAAAAAAGTAAATAGAGATTTGTTTCAATCAATCACTTGAAAAACTTCTCGAACACCTAATTGTTGTTTGTTTTCAAAAATAAGTGATCTTCTTCAAACCGGTTACACCGAAAACTGTCTAGAACGTTTCTGATGAATCACAGTTTTCAGAGAACAGAAGTTTTTTGTTTTCCAGTTTCACCTGACAATTTCAATGAAAACTAACCTGCTCGACATTCGTAGAATCAGTTTGTTCTGTCCAATAAGCTTCCATGCTATCATCAAATGGGATACTTTCTTGACTTGTTGATTCATCTTGCTAAAACAAAACATGAAACTTTTCAAGCGCTTATTGTGCGAACCTCTACGACAACCACATCTTTAGTGACTCTCACTCCTAGCTGATTCCTTCTTGCAATATCCACGATTGGAACTAGAAAAGTCTGAAAACTTTAAACTTTCATGGAAATCGAATACATTTCGAATTCACTAACCACATTATGCCCTGCTTCAGTTAAAGTATCCGCTAATCTTGCCATAAAATTGGTGTGACTTGCAGCAAAAGCTGGTGAATAAACGAGAACATTCACAGAGTTCGAAGAAATGAACAGAAAATAAAAAATGAAAAGAATCATGATAGTGTTCTTCTGAATCGAAATGAATTGTTATTGTTGAAAAATCTCGTATTAAGTAGAATTCTTCCTTATTTTTTGGATGACGATGATGAATTACTTGTTAAGAAAACATCACTTGATTTTTTCACAGTTTCAATTATATTTATTGAAGACCCGTGGTCATAGAGAGGTATCGATTGGGAGATTAATCATTCTTTTTTCAATTTTGTGAAACTTAAAACGTATCGAATTAAAACTATAAATGAGATGAGGCAGACTAGGAATCCAACAAAAACTGTGATGTAAATATCAAGGAACGTCTTCTGGAAGTAGTTGAGTTTTCGAGCATAAGGATCCATTTGAGGGAAGGGGCCATATCTGAAAAAAAAACATGATTTTTTGATAAGAAGGTACGACTTTCTAAAACTCACTTTGCAACAAATTCAGTATATTTCACTACAGTTTGTTTGGGAGTTGTTGGTTGATTCGCCAACATTTCAGCAATCCTTTCAGCATTTTCCATATATTTCTTCTCATATAGAATAGCATGAACCGCTTCTTTGACCAACTTTTCGTTTGCTAATTCTTTCTTATGAAGTACAATAACTGATCCATGTCTTGCTAACATGTTTGCATTTCTTGTTTGATCTCCATAAATTGGAACCATGACTGCTGGTTTTCCACAATGAGCCAATTCATTTGTACTTCCAAGACCTCCATGAGTCAAGAATCCAGAGAGACGTCGATCACCAAGAAGAGCTGTTTGAGGAACCCATTTGGAGAAATGAATGTTGTTGACTTCAGATGCAAATGACACGTCATCGGATTCATACTTCCATATGAATGTTACATTTGGCATTGATCTGATTGTATTGAATATTCCAGCTCTGAAATTTGAAAACTCTCAGTTATTCTTGACTTCTTCATCAACTCACTTCCACGCAGCAGGCATTTTAGCAGACGGTACGTTCGAACCGAAAGAAATTAACATTGTTTTCTCTCTTCTATTAAGAACTTCTTCCCATTCTTCATCCAATTTCTCTGATTTGATTTTCTCCAAATCTACAGTAATCCCTCCAACTGGTACTGTTTTCTGAATCGATGCTCTGGGATAATCAATGAATGGATTTGAATTCGTGAAGTAAAGGGAAGCAGAAGCCATTAATTCCTTCCAATCTGGAACTTCTTTTCCGAATTCTTCTCGATAAATTCTAGTTTCTGCGTCGAATAATTTAGCGAGACTGGCTTTTGTTTCAGCAACAAGTCGATAGTTCTCCCACTTTTCAGTCATACTCATTTCTTCTCCAACTTTACTCGAAAGTGCTGAAAACAGAACATTTTGGAATTAGAGCAGTAAACATAAAACTGACTCGGAACAGAGCTGAAATCCTCTGGCTCGCCGATATGTGGGAGCATGAAATCATAATGTGCACACGAGGAAACCAAAATAGTCTTCTTAATGTTCAATTCTTCAAATAATCCGAGACCACAAATGGTAAATGGCTCAGCAATTGCCACATCAAAGTGACGAGTTTTGAGATCAGCTATCACTTTTTTGTTTCTCATAAAGTTCTCACAAGTGAGGATCATTATTTCGTTGTACCAGGAGAGCATCTGTTAAAAGAAAGATTGAATTCCCTCTAGAATACCTGATTTCTGAACTTACCGTATCAATGCTTGAGGAATCCATTTCAATAATCCAAAGAAATTCAATACTTCCATTACTTGGTTTCAACTTGCTCTTCATTTCCTCATCTTGCTCCACAATAATCACATCTTTTGTTGTTTTGACTCCTAATTTATCTCTTCTTTCATCAATTGCAATTGGTACTAGAAATGTCTGTAATACTTCATTGTTTCCATACTATTCTATTCCTCTGAACTAACCACATCATGTCCTGCTTCACTCAAAGTATCTGCTAGTCTAGCCATAAAATTGGTATGACTTGCAGCATAAGCAGGTGAATGAACGAGGATATTTAGAGATGAAACAGAAGAGAGACAACATAATACTGTAGAAACGAAAAGAAAAGAGACAGTTCTTGTACTTATCATTGTAGGAAATAGAATAGAGTGAAGACCACCACTCTTATCAGACTAGTTTTAGTGATGTATGAATTTATAGTGGAGGAAGGAGGTCGCCGACAAATTGTGAACTATTGCACAACGTTTTTGTTTGTTTTGGTGAACTTTGATGCCTGCAAACTACAAGTTTTAATGAAGAACTAGAAAAAATGATTGAAAACTAAAAAGAAATACATATTTGGGAATATACAAAAAAAGAACAGTCATTCAAACATTAAGAATTGTATTACTCGGACAGTGTTGAGCTTTCGTTCTATGGGAAAACATTGGAACACAATGATATATTCTTAAAGGTGATTCATTCTGTCTTCAAAAACAATAAAATGTTCATCTAATCGTTATCCCCATATCAGATTACCTCTTTCCTCTCCTTCCCCCCTCTTTCCACTCAATTTGCGCCTTCATTTTGAGGTCGCACATTTTTCAGACTCGCCGCCCTGATGGCCGAGTGGTCGAAGGCGTGAGGCTTATGTCCTCATTGGGTGACTCCAGTCGCGGGTTCGAATCCCGCTCAGGGCAAGGATGGTTTTTTTTTCTTTTTCTTCTTGTTTTGAATCATTTCAATGGAGGAAGCAATGTTTTTGAGCTCTGCTGCGAGAAATCAAGACAAATTGAACTGGTAATTTTTTATTAAATAACAAGCAAAACAGGTTATGAACAGTAAAACAAAGAAAATTGAATAGCTGCCTAGAACAAAATTTTGAATGAACTACTCAGCTTTTTCTGTTGGTTTCAAATAATAAAATCCTTTAATTCGGGAATAAACAAATCTGGTAATCACTACTACCGCAACAAACATGGTAACATAGGCAAATGCAAAAAGTGCATAAATGTCAAGGAACGTCCTCTGGAAATAGTTGAGATGACGACCATATGGATCCATATCAGGGAACGGACCATGTCTGGAAGTACTTCTTTGCCTGTTTATTCCAATGAATCAAACTCACTCTCCAACGAATTCAGTGTATTTGATCACATTCTCTTTTGAACTATACGGCTGATTCGTAAGGATATCAGCTAACTTCAAAGCATTCCTTTTATAATTCTCATTATAAAGAATACCATGAAATGCTTTTCTTGTGATTTCCACATTCTCCATTGAACTCTTATGAAGATAAATGACACCTTTATGTCTTTCAAGCATGTTGGCATTTCGAACTTGATCAGCGAACACTGGAATCATGACAGCTGGTTTTCCACTGTAAGCCAATTCCATTGTGCTTCCAAGTCCTCCATGACTAACAAATGCAGTCAATCGGTCATCATTAAGAAGAGCTGTTTGAGGAACCCATTTCGAAAAATGAATATTATCGATTCCATTGGCAAATGAGACATCATCTGATTCATATTTCCAGATGAAAGTTACGTCCGGCATGGATTTTATTGTTTCAAGTAGACCGGATCTGGAAATGATTGTCCCGTTTTTGAAGGTTTTATTCTCTTCTTCCTAACTAACCTCCATTTCTTTGGCATATGCATTGCTTTCACCATTGATCCGAATGAAATTAACATGTTCTTTGGTCTTCTTTCCAGAATTTTATTCCATTCATCTGTTAATTTTTGTTGTTTTATCCATTTTATATTCACTGATATTCCTCCGATAGGAATTGTTTTTTGTAAAACTTGACGAGGAAAATCCAAAAAAGGATTTGAATTCACAAAGTATAATGAGGCTTTTGCTACAAGTTCTCTCCAATCGGGTAGGTCGTTTCCAAGATATTCACGATAAGTTTTCGTTTCTCCATCATACATTTCTTCTAGTGCCGTATTGATTTCCTAGAAGAGTTGATTAAATTCTTTCAAAAAGAGATTATTACCTTAGCAACCATATAGTTTTCGTACCGTTCAGTCATCCCCATTACTTCTCCAGTAACACTGAATAACGATGGAACATAACTGAAATCGAGTGGTTCTCCAATATACGGTAGAATTGAATCAAAGAATGCACAGGACGATGCCAGAATTGTTTTTTCGATTCCAAGAGCCTTAACGAATCCAAGACCACAAACATGAATTGGTTCGAGAATTGCCAAATCAAAGCTTTTTGATTTCATTTGTTCGAAGACATCTCTTCGGGAATGGAAGTTTCGACAAGCGACTTGCATTGAAGCACTGTACCACCTGAACATCTATAAACAATAAAACAATGAAAAAGTATTCGAAATCAAAAATAGTTACCTCTCGAGAGTTGGAAGAATCCATCTCAACTTTCCAGAAGGT